TTTAACCAAGTACCATATGTGGGAGAAATAAAGTATGATGTTGATGGTGGCAACAATTTTTCTATAATATAATAGAATTTATTTACATTCTATACACCCTTCATAGGCCTAAGCCAAAGATGTAGAATACAAATACAATACAAAAGATTAAATACAAATTTACAGAAATATCTGATGTACTACAGTATAGTAATTACATAAAGGAATCATCACCATTATTAGTGGAGCTGGGAGCAGAACGGGGTATCGGATTTATTTCGTCTGCAATGCATTGCAATGTATCGAGACCGGGTGAAATACCATTAGCATGCAGCACAGGGTCATAGCGTAGGTCATGCCATCTTGTTACAGTTTCTGAAATAGTCACCCATGCTGGATTTTGCTCCTACATTTTAGAATCTTTTCTCAACTTCCAGTGAAGGTAAGACCTATTCATTATTCATATCCACTTTGTTCAATGATGCATGTTGCAAGGTGTTTTCTTGAAAGTCTTAAACACAATATTTTTATTTATTTTCATGATGTCATTTTTGGTGGGACAATCCTAACCTGAAAAAGTATACTCTGGGCAGAATGGGGAATGCCGTTTTGCCCCGAGTGAAAAAAAGGATCATCAAGACGAGTGCCTGTATTGTGGCGATGTCTGTTGAAGGGTGGATCCGGTGATCGTCTTGCTTGAAATGGGACCGTAACTAATGTGCAGGTGTTGATAGGAGGAGGATGAGGTGCACGTGTGCAGTCTTGTGTTAGGACTTAGTAGATTTCAAATGTGTAAAGTTTCGACATTTTATATTGTATACTTTATCATCTTTATATCCTACGTCATAATTATTAGATAATCGGTTGCTTCTTACCACGTTTTCAAACATATCAACCATACCCCGTCTTGCCCCAGGGGTAAGTTACATTTTTGTAAAAAATTCATATTTTTAAAAAAAACTAATAACTCATTATAAATTTCAAATAGACTATAAATCCACACAAGGTTCCTCCATGTGTTTGTCTTTGTTATTGTTCCTTCCACATGCTTCCAAATATTAAGTTCCCCATTCTGGCCTTTGGCTTCCCTATATGTATTTAAAATAACAGAATTAAAGTAAATTACTGTGTAGGAGTGTGATAAGAGATACTCTTTTAGTGCCAGTTTTACTTCTGTGTCATAATTAAAACTTTTTATGGTGTGAGGAACATTATTAAATAATTTAATTCCAGTGAAGTAAACTTCTTTTTGGTATTTGCTGAGGTTAGCATTTGGCACATGAAGGTTATGTCTGCATCTTGTATATTATTTGTACATCGGAGTTTGTTTGTGGTATCGATCAGGGCAGGTCCCAGCTGAGTGCAGAACATGCAGTCAAGTGCACCACCCGATCGCTGCAGTTCGCTGTGCCGGCCGTGGAGTACAGGGAGAGCGCAGGCGCTGGAAAACTCTGCTCTGCATTTCATAACAGTGATAGAAACGTTAGCGGAAATTGTGATTAGTGAAGTGATCTTTGGGATATGAAGCATAACAGTTATCATAATCGGGTGCTTGTGCACAGGGAATGGAGCAGGAAAGCATAAAATGGAGAAACAAGTAAGTACTTTTAAAAATTTTATTTTCAACGTTATTATTCATACTTGTTTGTACAAACTGATCACACTAGAAACAATAAATTACTGCAGTGCTGAAGCTGAATTATGTACCCACCAAAGGGCGGAACTTGAAAAACCCGCAAAATTTGTTCCTTGCTAGAACAGCTCGCGTGGATGACGTGTTGTTTATCTTTGATGGTGGCATATATGCCCTCTGGTCTACTCTTACAGCTCTGAATTGATTTACGTCCAGTTCTGTTAAACTCACCTAATCTCTAATAACATTGTGCAGTAATGTTATTGCATTAACAATGCACAGCATTTTCTACATTTGTCTCAGTTGCCTTTCCAAAGAGACAAAATTGTAGATCTCTTCCTTTGAGCAATTAACATTTTCAGAAACACACTTTCCGATAGCTGACCACGACCTGGTGGATACCTGATGTTGAACGCGTCGTGGTCGCCTCTTGCTTTCTCCCACGCAGGGCACGTCAACCGATTCGTCCGCGCCGCTCATTTGTGATCGATTACGTAGGACACTGCTTTAATCAAAGATGTGAGGTTGCATTGTGCGTGTGTAAGAAGCCGTGTTTAGGGAGTCCGGCTCGTAGATCAAGCAGGAATTTTTATAGGCGTAGCCTTGCAGGAGCGATCAGCTGAGGAATCCCGCCGTCCCAACCTCAGCGTAGGCCGTTCACACGGCTTCTTCGCCTGTGAAGTGCCGTTTGCCCGCGTTGGCAGAAGTACGGACGCGGCTCCGGACAATGTCCTAGTGGTAGGTTCCAGCAACCTCCCCGAGATGGACGAGTCCAAATCGTTGGCTAACGTTGCCCGCGATAGTTCTGCACTTTCTTTTCGCCTTCCCCTGGCAGAGCCGGGTTGCAGCCCATCCGGCTGGTCGGTGAGCCATTTGCCGACCCTTTGTGGCAGCCTCGGATTGTTCCATCTTTCCGGCTAGAATGTGCCGCTTTACTTGTCGATGCCCCATTTTTGAGGGCTCTATGAAAGGAAAGTTGTGAAATGAGTGTTTTGGACCATGAGAAGCGGAAGTATAGTCTTTAGGGGCCTGTCGGTTGGGAGAGGAGGTGAGGAGTGTGTGGGGTAGCGGAGGTAGGATCGGTGTGGTGCGGGAGAACGGGTGATTCCAGACTTCGCTTAACCTTTAAATGTTGGTGTTTAGATATTTCGATTGCTTATTTGATTATGCGGGGACAGTGGTCACTGATAAGTGAATGCCGTGTCTGGTAGTTATAGGATGTTCAGCTGCTGCTGAAGAATCAGGGCCATGGCGTGATGCTCCCCTGCGATCTAGTGCCGAGGTAAAAAAAAGTGAAGTGTAGAACTGGAACCACCGATTATGGCCGCTGACCTTGTAGGGAGAGCCCAGTTTGCGGACCACTCAACGAAGGAAGGAAGGAAGGAGTTTCCGTCGGTCAGTGCAGCGGTGTAGAAGCCTGATATTGTTGTCTTCTGACTGAGCTGTGTTAACAACATGACACCTGTTCGCTGGAATCTCCTTTCTGGTCATTGACAACGCCTCGTATCACAACACTCTGACAGACAAACCACCGACATCTTACTCAAAGAAGGACGAATTGAAAGCATGGTTATTGGAAATAAACATCCCATTTTGTGACAACTTGTTGAAAGCTCAACTGTACGATTTAATCAAATTAAATTAGTCAAAGCACAAATATTACGTAATTAATCAGATTTTGGCAGACAAAGAACGGACTGTGCTGAGACTTCCGCCGTACCATCCCGATTTAAACCCCATTGAACTTATTTGGGCAGACGTAAAACAATGGGTTGCAAGCAAGAACACAACATTTAAAATTAAGGACGTTGAAAATCTGTGTCGCTAGAGAACCGAAGAAATTGGGCAAGAAGAATGGGATAATGTATGTCAGCATGTGGAGAAACTAGAACAAATTTAGTATCAGCAAGAAGGCATAATCGAAGACTCCATTGAACGGATTATTATTGAAGATATTGCAGTGAACAGCAGCAGCGGTAGTGATGAATCGAGTGATATGTCAGAAAGCGATGTTCTGTGAGGAGTGGAAGAATTGGAAGAGGACCGAAGAGTTGTGAACAAGATAAAATTATCTAATACTCTCTGCAGTGTTAATTGTCTAGTGACGTGTAGTGTAGTGAAATCGGCTATCCTGTGTTATATAACGTGGTGATATTTTATTTGGAGTGTACTGTACGCGGCCTGCTGCCATCCCTTACAGCAAACGTCTGGTCACTGACTCGCTCTAAGGTTCCAATTCACAAAGTTCAGCGGCCAAAAACGCTGGAACGCAATATACTCCACCATTGTGGGGATACGTCTTCATGGCGTGGTACTAAATAAATCAGTTACAACTCAACATTCGAAAACTTGAACAATTAATTCTCGTAACTCTAAGAGCAGAAAGTATTCGTTCTAAACACGTTTGCAATAAACACTATTTCAATAATGAAATATTTTCTCTTATGATAATGTAGTGCTGGAAACCCTATACTACACAGTCTCCACGAGAGTTCAGCTGGTGGAAACGCTCCTCTCATTAACCCTGTAATAAAACCACTGTCACTTGTCTTGACGTGAAAAATGTCGCTTTCTATCAGTCTTAGAATACTGAACCGAATCATGGGGCGGGAGCAATCCAACTTGTCACCAGACATGGTTTCAGCGACATTGTTTCAAGTCTGTTGACCGCAGGGGGTGGGACGACTGTGTGGGGTGACTCATCTTAGCTACGGCATGTGGTTTGGATCGATCGAGTGCAGCTGTACCGAGTTAGTGCATGTGTACCGAAGATCCTACGTCAGACGGTACAGCTGGGATGGTATGAGTAATCATTGGTACCACATGCTTCAAAGAGAAAAATCCCTCTAATCATGTTCCGGCTCGCTCCCACGCACGGACGTTGTACTTTTCAGTTCCTGGTGTATGACCCAGAAGACGGAAAGATGCAGGGAACTAAAATATTCTGTGAGAACCTCCAGGAATTAATTAATAGATGTAATAAAAGTGATCGCATAGAATTTCTGGAGATATAAATGCAAGAATAGAGAAATTACCAGTCCCAAGAGTCAGTAGAATTTTTGGAGAGGACTGTGTGAATAAAAATGGCAGGCAGTTGCGAAATTTTGCTTCCTTTAACGGCTTGAAAATTACCTTCTTCCAGATTTGGAGGACATTCTACAGGAATGTAAAAAGAGAGAAGAGGCAGTTCATAAGGGAATAAATACAGGACGAATATAATTGAACATGCTGCTATTTGTAAATGGCACGGTTTTAATATTTGATAAGGAAGAGAGACTGCAGTGAGGAATGTCTGAGTTAAATAAATTTAGCAAATTATATAATATGAAAATATTCAATTCTAAGGGTTTCTGACGACGGTAGTTTGCACTTAAAATTATTCATTGTCAGGACTTTTCCATCGTCTTTTTTTCAGTGTTAGAGACTAGCTGTATCTAAGGGACCCAGCAGTGTACCTCTCACCTGAAGAAGGAGACAGAAACAGCCTCCGAAACGTCGTGGGTTTTTAAAGAAAAGACAATGGAAAAATTCCTGACAATGAATAATTTTAAATGAAAATATCAAGTACGAAATCGAAGTAATGACATTCAACGGAATATTTCGAACCGGAACGAAAGTCAAATAAACAGTTTGCGGCGGTCGTAAGACAGACAGACAGACATATATCGGATTACGATCTCTGTGAAGCAGATTTATGTTTGCCATTCAGTTAGTCAACCGAGAACATACATACTCGCGAATTCAAAACTTCTTTGAAACTCACTACTTTAATTGCAACATTTTACCCCTAGAAGGTTGGACCAGCATTAATTTAATATACGCAAGAGCAGACGAAAGTGACATTGCGTCACAACTCAACCATAACCGCTTAGTTTGATCTCAGAATTTGAAAGCAGTCAATCAGGGTAAGAGAATTTCGATTTGAACTTGAATTAGTACACTAATCAGGAAACTCGCGGGGATAAAGAACCAATCACCTTACAAATTTCACATTTCTGTAACAGGCGAGAGGAATTGTTATAATTTTGGAAATAGTAACTTGGCTTGGCTTTCAAGCAGCAGTAGGTAGCAAGCATTCAACGGGGGTAGTCGCTGCTGTACTTCAAGGACACGATATTTATCTAAATTATATTAAGTCAGAAAACCTCTCAGTTCAGTGTCATTAACTTGCAACACTTTTACCACAGGTTTCGGAAGTAAAGCATAAATTCTATTAAATATCATTTAGGTAATCTGATAAGTACTGTGTATATGTCACGGACGCATCTGTGTCCAAAGGTCGGTGATAAAGCGATTGGGGATACGTTAATCACGTATGTTTCATTTCAATTACATTTATCTCAAATTTAATAAATCCAAACTGATAACCCGGTTGCCCGTGACGTGATTCGTGACTTCCCTCAACAATTTGAGTTCTGTTCGATGCCAATCCCGCTGAAGAGACTCATCGCTTGACATAACCTAACTTTCCTTTTTAAAACTCAGCTACAGTCCAGGCATAAATACAACGCGAGGCTTGAATGAAGAAAGGACCGGTTGCAAATAACGTCCATACGAAGTGAGCTCAAGGCAAGTTACACTTTTTGATAGAGTTTTTTTAGAACATTCCAAAATTAAAATCAAACTAATTATTGCAGAGTAGTATACAGTACTCTGAAATCGAAGTTTTTATCAAGTGGTTAACGTCTAAGTAGCTGATTAAAATTGTCCACGAAGGACTAATCGTTCAAAGATCAATTTGCCAGGTGTTAAACCCAGACCAGATTTTAATCTTAATCCATCCATAAAGAAGTAGATACTCGATTGATCGAGATAAGCGTTGAAGAACTCTCGATCTAGCATCTGTTTCGTCACGTCATTATCTCAGGTTCAATACGCCTTCTTTTGTAATGAGTAAGTAGAAAAGCATTTGAAAGGGACAGTATTTGACTGACTTAACAGAGTTCCATTCTCATTTAATTTGT